GTGAGTTAGAATTATGTTCTACATCCTTCTCCAGCTCTGTCCAGAACCCTCTGTTGTGATCCTGGTCAGAGCAGTCAGTGGTGGTAGCCAGGCACCATCTCTGTGTACTGGACTCAGTCTGGTGGAGGCCATGGTAGTTGTGGTCCATTAGTCCTTTTGAGTAGTCTTTTCCTTGTATCCTGTTCTCTTCGTTCTCCCTTGCTCCCGAAGGGATGAGACCAGTGGAGTATCTTAGATGGCCACTCACAGGCTTTTAAGACCCTAGACACTACTCACCAAGGTAGAATGTAGAGCATTGTCTTTATAAGATGTTGCATACCTTTCTTGACTTTAAACCACGAAGTATCCCCTTGTTCTGTTCGAATGACTGCCTCTTGATCTAGGTACAGATTCCTCATGAGCACTATTAAGCATTCTGGAATTCCTATTCTTTGCAATGTTATCCATAATTTGTTATGATCCACACAGTCAAATGACTTTGCATAGTCAATAAAACACAGGTAAACATCTTTCTGGCATTCTCTGCTTTCAGCCATGATCCATCTGACATCAGCAATGATATCCCTCATTCCATGTCCTCTTCTAAGTTTGGCTTGAATTTCTGGCAGTTCGCTGTCAACGTACTGTTGTATTTTGAATGATCTTCAACAAAATTTTACTTGTGTGTGATACTAATGATATTGTTAGATAATTTCTGCCTTCTGTTGGATCACCTTTCTTTGGAACAGGCATCAGTGTGGGTCTCTCCCAGCTGGTTGGCCAGGTAGCTGTCTTCCAAATTTCTTGGCATAGATGAATGAGCACTTCCAGTGCTGCATCTGTTTGTTGAAACATCTCAATTGGTATTCTGTCAATTCCTGAAGCCTTGTTTTTCTCCAGTGCCTTCAGTGCAGCTTGGACTTCTTCCTTCAGTACCATCAGTTCCTGATCATATGCTACCTCCTGAAATGGTAGAACATCGACCAAACTGACAGATGCGTGGGAGAGATTTTCTGTAAGGCCTGTTTATTCAGTGTTTCCTGGGTTCCCTGAGACCTGCTTGCATGGAAGAGATTGCCTTTTCCCTATCACTATGAGTATCCATAGAATAAACCTACCAATATTGTCCTAGGCTGGGTTCTCTAGAGAAGCAAAACCACTGAAGCATATAAATCCATATATAGAGAGATTTATATCAAGCAAATGGCTCACATGATTGTAGAGGCTGAAACGTCCCAAGTCCACGGATCAGGATAGAGGCTTCTCCTGATTTACATACCCGCAGGGGCTGACGAACCCAAGATCAGCAGGTCGGAGAGCAGGGCTCTTGCTCACAGGCCGTGAAGATCGACAAATCCCAAGATCGGCAAGCAAGACCGCATGGCTTCTTCTGATTCACGTAGCTGCAGGGGCTGACAAACCCAGGATCGGCAGGTCAAAGAGCAGGAGCCAGCCACAGGATCTGGTGCAGGCAAACACCAGAACGTCCCCTTATATTTAGATGCAGGCCACACGGCCAATGAAGCTCCCTTTCAACTGACGGCTTCTCACAGCAGATCCCATCATGGCGGTGATCACTTATAAACACTGAGAATCATGGCCCAGCCAAGTTGACACACAGTCTTAACCATCACAAGTATTGAGAGGCAGTAAGGACAATGGTTAAGAGTGTTGGCACCAAAGATAGCCAACCTGCATTAAATTCTGGTCTGCCACTAATTAACCGTGTCACTGTAGGCAGAACACTTAACCTCCCCTGTGCTTCAGTTTATTCTCCTGTAAATGGGGATAATCATAGCACTGGCCTCATAGGGCTGTTGTGAGGATTGAATTAGTTAACATGGGGAAATGCTTAGACTAGTTCCTAGTCAGTGTCGGCTGTTAACTATTCTAGTTTATTATGTGACTTAAGTAACTCAAGTTACCGAAAGAGCTGGTTATAAAGAAAAGTAATATTTTTCCTGTTTTTCTTTTGCAGCAAGAATTACGTTATTCCCTTGCAGTGCAGCTGCCCTGTAGATTTTGAGTTTCATATGGCTTTGATTCAGGCGCATCAAGCCTTTACTATTGAACCAACATCAGGTGAGCAGAGTCAAGATTGCAAATTTCCAATGACTGTAGGGTTCTCAGATCAAACAGAGGGTCTGGAGAGTCAGTGGTCTCAAGGTCTAAAACAGAATGAGGAACGTTCGAATGTGTTCTTTTAAAATATGACATTAATAAACTTTACGTATCTGACATAATATAAATTTTAATCAGACACTCGAGAATAAGGACACTTTGGGATAATTTGTATCATACAGATAATTTAAGTAATGTCTAGATATGTTTGTCCCAAGATTGAAACTTGAAGTCAGAAATGAATCCATTCTAATTCTAATTTTTTGCGTCTTGTACAGCTTTGTTTTTATATTCTCCTTCCAACTCAATTTCAAAGAAAATGGGGGTATTATTTCTTTCCAAGCTTTCACAATCTTAGTGCAGGGTTTAATGAATTTGTCTCACGTGTGGTGTGAGCAACACATCTTTGCACGCCCCAGAGGACAGACCCCAGTGTTGCTCAGGACAGTTGAAAGTGAAAATTTTTCCCTCAAGTGGTTTCAGCTTCTGAGTTTCTGTCTCTTGATGTTTAGGTTTGGGATTTAACTATCTCTCCCCAGTGGTCTCCACTGAACTCTAAAATAGTTGTTTTAATTTTTATGGGTATTTATCCATTTATTTACAATACTTTCATCATTACAAATGAGTATTTTGTCCATTAAATGCTTGTCCAAAGAAGAAACTTTGAATTAATTTTATCATGAAATGTATGTAGATTTTTCTAGAGAACCAAGAGCCATTCTGAGATTTTTGAAATATAAGGTAACTACTATTTATATTTATAAAACAGGACTTGTTTTTCTTTCCAATGATAAGAGATTTATTAGCTTTAGCTGCTTGGGCCTTAAAAATCAGAGAAAATAAGTAGTTACTAAAATTATGCTAAGCAAGATAATATTTCTGATGAACTATAGGTAATGACAGGAGGCCTGGTGGCACAGTAGTTAAAGCACTCGGCTGCTAACCGAAAGGTCAGCGGTTCAATCCCACCAGATGCTCCACAGCAGGAAGATGTGGCAGCCTGCTACTGTAAAAATTTATGGCCTTGGAAATTCTATGGGGTGGTGTACTCTGTCCTAGAGGGTCACTATGAGTCAGGATAGACTCAATGGCAATGGGTGTGGTTGTTTTTTTGTTAATAGGTAATGTTTTCACGATAGACCTTTTATGTTGAGATTGAAATAATCTAGACCTTGAGAGCCTGAACTAAACTGGCATCAGTGGCAAGGAAAAGAAATGGAGATTTGGGGAGAAAGTTGGAGATTCTTATGGCCTGGCCAGACTTCTCTAACGCATCCCAAGACACAGAATGTCAATTTACAAGAGGGATTTTGATACGCAACCTTTTCAAGATCTGGGGACTACGTGGATAAGCATATAGAGGGTTGAGCATAGTTCAGCGCCAATTACGTGTGAAACACAAAAAATTATGCAGGCCTTTTCCAAGTGCTCAGATTATAAATTGCACAGTCACGTAACTCAGACAAGCACGTTATACGGGAAATACTTTGGTTTGCTCCATCTGATAGGTTTTTCTGGTTGTTCTAGTGTTTTGTTGCATGTCTTTTAAATTCTGTCTTTAAAGTGAAAGTAAATTGAATATACTAGTTTGGAGTCTAGAGAGAAGTGAGAGCTGGGAGCATAAATTTAGGGGTCATCTGGGTACTGATGGGTCAGGTCACCCAGGGAGTGAGTGTGGATAGAGAAGAAAAGTGGACTGAGGACCAAGCCTGCAGCACTCAGACACTCGGAGGACAGCAAGAGAAAGGGGCTCCAGGAACAGAAACCAAGATGGAGTATCCAGTGAGTAGGAGAAAATCAGGAGCGTGTGGTGGGCTAGGAGCAGGAGAAGATGTGAATGAATAAATGAATGAATGAATGAATGCAGGCGAGCCAGGGCTCTTGAGTTTGCCGTTTGGAATGATCTGCAGTGTGTGTATGGCATTGCTAAAAGGACTTCACAAACTGTTTTAGTAGGCTGGACCCCTCAGGCTTCTCGGTAGCTATTGTATAAGGCTTCGTGCATTCCTTGGTCTACCAGTCTCTCAGGAATTTTCTTGGTTTCCCACTTGGTTTATGTATCAGTGTGTCTTTGACTGTTCTGTGTTTGAGGTTGTAGAATTCAGTGGTGACTTTCAGCCACCTCCAATAGAAACGCTTTGGCTGCATAGACGGTGGATGAGTGCAGGCTGGCGGATAACCAGCTGAGCTGCACACTTGCTGACTGACCTGACTTGCCAGGGACACTGGCTTGACTCCTGCGCCTTAGAGCTGGACAGCAGCAGATGACAGCAGGCATTATTACCTCCCTTTTACAAACTGAGTCCCAAAACTAAGAACCTTGAGCTACTTTACACAGCTGGGTGTGTATTTATAGACACCATTTCTTGTATATCTTTGGTAATGATTGTCTCAAAGACTTGTGGGGACATCCATAGTCCATCAGGTTATGGAGCAATACCTTCTTTAGGAACTAGAAGCATCGTATGTCCATGCCTTTCAGGAATTTTGTGGCCAGGCTTGACAAATGAAGAGGTGTCAAGAAAATTAATTCCATTTACAAGACAGTGATTTGATATCATGCCCTCAACTTTACCTCCACTGGCCATTTGCCCACTAGGCATCTTTAAGAGGCAGGTTTGCACTGAAGCTGTCAGCAGCTGGATCTGCTGGTGGAGCCAGAATTCTCCTGAGCTCAGGGAAAACCAGTATCAGATTTTATGACCTTCCTTATACTGCTGACAAGAAATCATATACAATTAGAACATCAAGAACACTGTTGATAATACTGATGTAATATTGTTGATAATATTGGAAGAGCCAGCAAACAGGACTTTGGCTAAGACCAGTCAAATGCTGTAAAAAATTGTTGAACTTATTTACTTGTGACCACTTTGAAGTCCTGGACATTTGCTTAGTGTCACATCCACTAAGGAAGAATGCACCGAATTTATATAATCGGTAAATCGTGGCGTAAAATGGCTAGTTATGCAACCGTTCCTGGGAACTAGATGCGTAGAGTTCTTGTATACAGTTTTAATGCTTTCATTGTCTCTCTGTTTTTTTAATTATACAGAACACATAAGCCATTTCCACATAATTTTATATTTTGCATTTCTTTCAAAATAAAAATTTCTTTATAACTTTATGTTGATTTAGGGGTAGGCCCAGTGCCTCTACCCTTGCCTTGCCTTAGACTACCTTTCACTGCAGACGTTTTCCGTAGGCCCAGGGCCTCCAATCCAGCAGGCAGCACATCTAGACCTTAGAGTACCTTTCACTGCAGACGTTATCCGTGGGCCCAGGGCCTCCAATCTGGCAGGCAGCACAGCCAGACCTTAGACAACCTTTCACTGTAGACATTATCTGTAGGCCTAGGGCCTCCAATCCGGCAGGCAGCACAGCCAGAGCTTAGAGTACCTTTCACTGCAGACATTATCCGTGGGCCCAGGGCCTCCAGTCCAGCAGGCAGCACAGCCAGACCTTAGAGTACCTTTCACTGCAGACATTATCCGTGGGCCCAGGGCCTCCAGTCCAGCAGGCAGCACTTCCAGGCCTTAGACGACCTTTCACTGTAGACATTATCCGTAGGCCCAGGGCCTCCAATCCAGCAGGTAGCTCCACCAGGCAAAAAACAAGTCCCCTTCCCCAAGAATGAGGACCAGGGTGCCCTGGATGCTGCACCCTACCTGTCGGGGCTCAAGACACCTTCTTGTTCCTTCCTGTCCTTGGTGGCCGGTCTGGACCTGAGCTCTTGTCTGTTCCTGTTACCTCAGCTGGACACATTCATAGTCCTGGCAATACATGTCAGCGTGCTGCCCACACCTCAAACTTAGGTTTCAAAGCGGGTAGTTCTCTCTTTTCTCTCTTTTTTCTCCAAAGGTTCCTTGGTGCCTGGTGGAGGTATGTTATCACCCTGCTCCAAAGCTAGTGCAGCAAACCTCACCTGCAGGCTCCAGCGGCCTCTGGGAGGCCAGGCAGAGCCAGATGAGAATAGGGGGAATGGTTTCCCTGCTTCTCCTGCCCTCGTCACCACGCACCTGCGGAGGGGTGGGACGGGAGACCCTCAGACCCCAGCACAGACCGTGCAGGGGACAGATCACGGTTATCAAGGGATGGTAAGCTGTTAACACAAGGGACCTGCAACCTTTGGATCCCCAGCATACAAAGCAGGCCCCATAAAATGCTTGTTATTGGTGAATAGCCTCGTCACAGAAAAGGTGTACTGATTGTCTGACGATGTGGAGACACGGAGACATACAGATATATCGTTGGCAAGGCTCACTTAAAGCACGTGATAGAAGTGAGTGAGATACCAAGGATATTAGCCGTCTAAACATCTGGGCCACTGAGTCTTCATCTGCTGTGGCGAAGCAAGAGTTGGTTCTCCCCAGGAAATGCCAAAGTGAACTGGCAGTCGAAAGCCTCAGGGCTCTGTTTCATTTCTTTACCACAATTCTCCAGGTCTCAATTTTTAAACGGACCTTTCCAGAGTCAGCCCAGTCCTTGTATTCTGCCCTGTCGTTGAGCCTGCATTTGGCATTTTTATGGAGCAAACAGAAAGGCCTCGTGCCTGGGGAGACTCATCCCAGTGGCTTGGCATCGCGAGATAATTGTGCTTCTTTTTTTAAGAACCCGAGTGGGTCAAGTATCAGTTTTTCAAAGAAACACTTGCTTATCCTGACATTTTAATGAACATTTAATTCGTAAATTACTACTTGTTGTCTTTGGCACAAACATCGGGAAGGACACGTTTATAGGACACACACTATATGCCAAGCATTATCCCACACCCTGTACATTATTTTCTCCTTTAAACCTCATCCCATTTTATAGATGAGAAAACTGAGCCTCAGGCAGAGTGACCAAACTAAGTCACAGAGCTTGTGCACGGCCGAACAAGGGCGTGAGCCAGAGTCTTTGTGGCCTCTGAGACATTTCTCTTGGCTGTTCCCCCGGGCAGGGGGTAGTGGCCTGAGATT